GGTGTTGTGAATCTGTTATTGTGTCTGAGCTCAACAATCAGTTGTAGGCTGATTAATATAAAAAAAAAAAAAAAAAAAAAAAAAAAAAAATAAAAAAAAAAATACTGTTTACATAATAATATTGTTAAATCCAAGGAAATGACTTCATATAGTAATAGCATAAGTATGAAGTTTAGCTAACTGAATGAGATGATTTACTGAATGCCCTAAAGTGAGATTTGAAGGTCTTTTTAACCATTCTTGTACTTTTTACGCCTTGTAGTTGTAAAGTTTTAATATTAAATATCCTAATTTATAACTTTTTAATTGCCTCATTAACCAATCTTTTGAGGCGTGGCAGAAGCCTGCTAAACCCAAAGGACCATTTATAGGTCTCATGGCCCCTATGTCATCTCAACGCACTGAACTCATGTCCATTATAACACTTCACAGTCAGGAACAGATTCATGAGTATACTTAAGCTGGCAAAATGCTACAAGGGCCTAGTGCACATGTGTCGAATATTGTATGGACCAACGCCTACTTTATATCTTAGTGAAGAGGGGGGAAAAGATGGAATTCTCCAAATGGGCATCGATGATGAGCTGGCATCATTGACACGCAAAAACACCAGTAATTCTTGACTTGCTAAAAACTGTTGCTGTACGACGACATCAGTTAAAGCAGAGGTATTTGTATTCAATACGCCCTCAAATTAGAAAAACATTGACGAAACAATCTATCTATTTGAAACCTCAATATCTTTCAATATTGCTTCACATTTTTACAATCTATATCTTGGCTGGGCGCTCTGTACGCCACCTAAATAGTTTATCATTTCACTTCCTCGTCGCAACCTGCCTTTTGACCATAAATTGTCTCTACCAATAGAATGGATATCAGATGATGCGAGATTTCTGATAGATAAAAGAAAATCGAATAAGATCGATATTTGATATAGAATTTTGATAAATTACTAATGGGTTATGTAATTGTATGATTTTGTCACTTTATTTATTAAAAAAATTAATTGGAGAAATTATGTTAATTATTGGTTAAATATGAAAATTTATAGGATAAAGTTGAAATTTGATCTAATTATTAAAGATTGATTAAGAGATAATGTTAGAGATATGTATAAAATTTGTAGTTTTGAAAGAATTTATATACACCAAAATGAAATTTTACAGCCCTTGTTACCCCAGTACTGGCTGTACAACTGCAAAGCTGCCGCTCCAGAGAATCCTTCATAATAATGTGTGTCAGCGGCAACATTTTGTCATAATAACTCCACTTTATCCCAAATCTTCAGGAAACCAGACATTTATGCTCGTTTTGACTCCATTAACAAGTGTTGATAACTGCGCTAAAATGCTCCATATCCTATAGTATTTAACTCCGCACACCCAACTAGCATTAGTTTTACTGTTGAAGTATGGAAATATGAAAGAAATTGGTAGACCCAACAGATCATATTTTCAAACATTTTAATGATTTAAAATAGAAAGAAATATAAATTTAGTAATTTGACAAGATTTACAAACTTCGACATATAGCCTTCGAAAGGCAAAAATCAAAAACCATTGAAAATTTTAGTTTTTGATTCATTAATTTGTTTGGTTAGTATATTTAATTTGGTGATGTGGAGATAGTTAATTATCAATATGAATTTTTTATATTACTACTTCGATTTGTTAAAGTTATATATAAACAATTTTTATAAGAAAAAAATTATATATAAATTAATTTTATATAAAAGGTTTATAATATATTTTATATATTTAAAATTATATTTAATAATTATAATTTATTATATTTATATATATATTATATATTATTCGATAGTTTATCTGCATATTGGATATTAATTATATGATATTGTTGTTGAAAGCTGACCCCAAAAAATCATAATACTACTTCATTAGTATAAACGACCGAAGTTGCATAAATTGCTATCCAAGCCAAGGAATTCAAGGCAATTGTGCTAACTTACGTCTAGCTCTCATCCTTATCACACGGATTCTTTGCGACTATTTTGTTATAAATATATATATAACTTTCTTCACGCTCTTGCTACACAATCCCTAAGATATCTGTCTAAAGTTCGTGCTAGTATATATTTATATAATATTTTTTCTTTAATGATACTAAGAAAATTGTTGTTTCTGAATTTTTTTTATCTTGGAAGAAAGCTTCTTACTAACCTACATCCAAGGTACTTACGATCAACACTGCTGACCTGGCTGATAGTCTCTGCATACAATATTCCTCTCTACAAAACAAGATTTTCTCTACGCTAAACTGGATTTGTTGATGCGTTTCCATGTCCATCTTATCTAAAGTGAATCGAATTTTAGAGTTCAAACGACTTCTGACAAATCTGTACAAACTGATTTGTTACCTATTGAGTTGCAAACTATGACTCCTACAAAACTTGTAATTTATCCTGTCGTAAATTTTATCATTTCTTTTCGCATTCACTATTTTTATTATAGATTTAATTTAAGATTAACTATGCACGATTTTGCTATTATTATTATCTATGATTTCGATCTATTAGATTATAAAAATGTACCAATTTGTTTATAGTCGAGGGTGTGTAAATATATTTTAAAACTAGGGCCAATTCTGATTTTTAATGTATTTTATTTTCTTAATAATCGTATTTTATACTGAAATAATCAATATTAATATAGTCTATTTAAGATTATTACGTTCAGTACTTCTTTCTCAACATATATAAAATGGGATTATAAAGATTGTTACAATGCTAAATTAAAATTACATCTATTTTAAACTTTTTCAGCACAACCATTAGACCATAACACCAACAAAAAGTAAAACCCGCTACTCCAGAGTGTAAAAATATCAACCCCGCAATCTCCTCCTCGTCGCTCCTCTTCTTCTTCCACCTCAGTATATATTATAAACTACGTATTGAACTGTTACATAGATGACCCCTCGCTCAGCACTTAGTCCCAGTTCATATAACTTTGATCCAAGCTAGACAAGTATCGAGGCACATTGAACAACCTCATCTCACTCAACAGCAGGAAACTAAACTATATCTACGCTTCATCCCTACACTAACTCTGGTGATAAGAAGTAAGAATTAAGAAGTAAAATAGAAGTAAGGTAGATATAAAAGTAAAGATAAGAGATAAGTAAGATAAATAGACATAAAATAGAGAATAATGAAGAGTAAAAGAAGAATAGAATTTATAAGAGTAAGATATCAGAATTAAGAATAAATAAATAAGAGTAAATAAAATAAGAGATAAGAAGATAGAGAAGTGAGCGAGAGAGTATAAGAGTTAAAGAGTTAATAGAGTAGGAGTAGGAATAAAGGAATAAAGATAGAGAGTAAGAAGTAAAGAGTAGAGAAGTAAGAGAGTAAAGTATATATGAGATAAAAAGTAATAGAATTAAAATAAGAGATATAAGATAGATTAAATATTTGATGTGATTGAAATATGAAATAAGAAGTATAAAGAGCTAATAAATAGAGATGAATAGTTATTATATGATAAAGCTAAAGAGAGATAAATGTTTGAAGAGTAAATAAGAGATAATAGAGTAATATAATAAAGTAAGAGTAGAAAGTAAGAAGATGAAAAATAAGTTAAGTAGTAAATAAGATAAGTAGTAAGAATAAGTGTATAAGATTATAAATAGTAGAATATAAAAAAAAATAAAAAAAAAAAAAAAAAAATAAATAGTATAGAAAATTTAAAATGAATAATTATAAATAAAATAATCATTTAGTTATGTGAGTAAGAGGAAAGTATTATTTTTGTGGGGGTTTTGTGTTATTTTTTTGTTTTTTTTTTGTGTTATAGGTTGTTAGATATTTTTTGATTTTTTTTTTTTTTAGATATTAAATAGAGTGTTTTTTAAGATATGATAAATTTAGTAAGTATTAGAATAGTGTTAGATTGTAATAAATTTGGTGTATTTTTTATGTTTGTTATAGTGATTTTGTTTTTTTTTTGTTTTGTTGTTATTTTTGTTTTGTTTTTTGTTGATTTGGTTTGTTTGTTGTTTTGTTTGTTTTGTTGTTGTTTTGGTTTTGTTTGGTGTTTTTATGGTGTTTTTTTGTTTTGTTTTTTTTGGTTTTTTTTTTTTGTTTGTTTTTTTGGTTTGTGTTGTTGTGTGGTTTTGTTTTTTTTTTTTTTGTTTATTATTGTGAGTATATTGGTTTAATAAGATTGAGATATATAGTGATTTTATTATGTTGATTAATTAGGAAAGTTAGAGTTAGAGGAGGTTGTTTTGTTTGTGTGTTTTTTTTTTTTTTTTTATTTGTTTTTTGTTTTGTTTTTGTTTTGTTTTTGTTGTGTTTTTTGTTTGTTTTTTTTTTTTGTGTTGTTTTTTTTGATTTGTTTTTGTGTGTTTTTTTTTGTTTTTTTTTGTGTTGTTTTGTTTTGTTTGTTTTTTTGTGTTGTGTTTTGTGTTTGTTTTTTTGTTTGTGTTTGTTTTTTACAACACAGTTTAGCTTTGCAATAAACCTCCTCCTCCTCGCTTATAACACAGAACATTGACTAAGCTTCTAAGTGTATGCTTGTTGTCCAAGTGTAATGATGGCCTAGTGATAAGCTCCACCCCTCTTGAGATATGTACCACGGTATTTTGTTTGTACACTTAATATCATTACAGTGTTAGCTAGTTCATCATTAACTTGGTAATTATATATACCGAGTCAATGATGAACTAGCTACTACTTGCACTGTAATATATAATATATCCTATTCATTGGAGTATTAAGTAATACAGTTCATTAGTAATACGTCCTAGTACACTGCAATTATTGACTGTGTAGATTTCAACTGTAATTAGACACAATACAAGACGTAGTATTGTAGTATATTATATTATAGAGCAATGTGTAATGAGAACTCAGTTCTCGTTCCTATGTTGTGTTTTCTGTGACGTCACCTAGCAATGACAAATGACTATGGTAAGATTCCTCAACAGCAAGTAATTACTGTATTGTTAATTGATGTGTGTTATCTTTTCAGGTATTTGACAGAGTTGACACACACTCTGATGATACCTCTGGAACAGTACATTAGCAGTTTGATGCCCTTACAGAAACAACTCAACCCCTTCAGACAGCCTCCCTTACTGCAGCAGTTCCAACAGGAAGCTTTTATTAACTCCCTCAACGACTCAAACTTCAAGGTATGGTATAACTATGAACTGTATATTATAACTAATAACAATAATTGTGGTTTTTAACTATACAGTGACCACACACGGAATAGTAGTAATAGTGGGAAAAACTTTTCTTTTAAACGAGTTTAACGATGTGAATAATAAAAAACATTAAAATTTACAATAACCCAACTTGTGGTAAAGTAACAAACATGTGAGGGAATTTCTATAATTCCTAGACCGATCCTATTGAAAAATATCATTGGTGATCCAACAATTGTGAAAGATGCCCTACTCCCTTGCCACATGACCAAGCACTACCTCTGTAGTGTAATGTACTCATTGCTGTAATGAGATATTACAGTGTGCTAAAATGGCGGCAAGAGTTTCCTCTTGTAAAAGTTGCTCTGCACATTTACAGAGTAGTATCATCTGGTGGATTCGTGTAGTGTTTTTGAGTCTCATGATTTGATAGTTCTTTTATTCAAATTTCTGATTGTTTCTGAATAGACTCAGTGAAGACAGATTCTAATGGAAATAAATAGCTGAATAACGTATCGACATTTCTACGTCATACTCATATTCTGAAATAGTATTAATTCAATTATAACGATCAATATTCACATTAAAAATTTGACGACGAAATTTATTTCAAACAAAATATATAACTGTAAAATAGTTATCAACCGTAAATAGTTTTTAACGAAATCGGAGCAAATATGAACATAAAACTGACAAAATTTATCAAATAGGGCTCATCTGGAAATTAACGAATAGCGTGACGTTATACAGGAGATAAAAGAACGTACAGAACAAAGACCAAGACGGAGCGATTCTCAAACTACCCTATGTCAACGAAGCTACTAGTCGCAAATACAGAGATGCTGTCAGACATAGTGGACTCCCCATCAAAATTGTCGAGAAACCTGGACGGAAACTGAAGGATCTCCTTACAGACTCCAGACCCCTTGACAAGAAATCCTGTACAACATCAAACTGCAGAACATGCGCAGCTTTAACCGATGGAGAATGCACCACAACTAATACCGTCTACCACATCACTTGCGAAGTAGACAATTGTACCGAGAACTATGGTGGGGAAACATACAGACCGATCAAGTGCAGGTTCGACGAGCATTACCGTAGTGCGGCAAATCCAACAGCAAAATCTTACGAAGATAAGCCACTAGCAAAGCACTACAGGGAAAGTCACCCTCAGCACAAAGGCCCCCCAAAACTTAAACTTCAAATCGTAGATAGAGGAACATCACTCATCAACAGAAAGATTAAAGAAGCCCGATTTTTAGTTGAAAATAAACCAACACTCAACGATAAAACAGAGTTGAACAATCTAACACAGTTTTTAGTTGAGTGACGTGTAAATAGTAATATTCTCGTTTAATTCTTTATCTCTTTTAATCTTTTATCTCCTGTATAACGTCACGCTATTCGTTAATTTCCAGATGAGCCCTATTTGATAAATTTTGTCAGTTTTATGTTCATATTTGCTCCGATTTCGTTAAAAACTATTTACGGTTGATAACTATTTTACAGTTATATATTTTGTTTGAAATAAATTTCGTCGTCAAATTTTTAATGTGAATATTGATCGTTATAATTGAATTAATACTATTTCAGAATATGAGTATGACGTAGAAATGTCGATACGTTATTCAGCTATTTATTTCCATTAGAATCTGTCTTCACTGAGTCTATTCAGAAACAATCAGAAATTTGAATAAAAGAGTAGTATCATGTTTCACTGGAGCTGAGGCAATTACTGCTGTAGAGTGTAGACCTCTACCTTCAAGAACCATCTCATTACACCTGTAAAGTAGATATTCTGGAACATTCTACCATGTTCCGGTGTCTGGCTCAAATAGAAGTTCACTGTTCAGCCAAGGTAATCTTTGTATTCTACAGAGCGCAGAGCTGAAAGGACTGCGAGGGAGTTGGAAGGAGCTTTACAGAAAGTTTATAAAATCTCCCAACTTTGAGCTGTGGTTTCAGAGCAAACGAACTGAGGCTAACCAGAGGTCAGTGCGAATACTTTTGTATTAAGTTTATATTAAGTTTATATTAAGTTTATAAGTTTATATTATTAAGTTTTATATTAAGTTTTGTTGGACTGAGATTTTGTGTTTGTAAATTACATTTTGTGTTGATATTGGGTGGTTCAGCAACCATCACAGTGTGCCCGAACTTACTCTGAAAACAATCTTTAAGACAGAAACAAATTAAGACTGTTGAATCTTATTAATTTAAAAACTAATAATTGTTATACCGTTAAAATGTGTACATCAGTGAACTTACAAACAAAGGTTTTTATCTAAAGTGACTTCAAAATCTCTGCTTAAACAATTAGTAGTCACCAACTATTAATGTTATGTGTGCAGTTTAGGTACACATTAAGAGAGAAGTCAGGATTGAGGTGAGCTTTGAAGTACAGTTTCTTGAGTTGGGGGTGTAGTCTAACACATGTTAAGGGGGCCGGGGGGGTCTTCATCAAAATTCTCTCGAAATTGACTTTATAGTTGTTTCTGGTAGAGGGGAGTGATATATACCAGCTGCTTTTGGTCCCATGGAAAAATATTGTTCCTAGCCGAAATTATCGCTGGTCTAAGGTCAGCGCTTATGTGTAATTGTATTGCGCGAGCGATTTTCAATCGCAAATTCTGAAAATCGAGTCTAAAAATCTATCTTCTCCTACATTTTTTGAGCAATCACCCTGAAACTTTTAGGATATGTTCTAGGGACCATTTAGAAGATTTGATCGAGCCAAAATTTTGAGATAGGCCTTTAAAATTTTTTTATTCAATTTTGAAAATCTTGGACCTCGTTTTTTTACGATTTTTTCTGGTCCAAGATTTTCAAAATTGAATAAAAAATTTTTAAAGGCCTATCTCAAAATTTTGGCTCGATCAAATCTTCTAAATGGTCCCTAGAACATATCCTGAAAGTTTCAGGGTGATTGCTCAAAAAATGTAGGAGAAGATAGATTTTTAGACTCGATTTTTAGAATTTGCGATTGAAAATCGCTCGCGCAATACAAATACACATAAGCGCTGACCTTAGACCGGCAATAATTTCGGCTAGGAACAATATTTTTCCATGGGACCAAAAGCAGCTGGTAGATATCACTCCCTTCTACCAGAAACAACTATAAAGTCAATTTCGAGAGAATTTTGATGAAGACCCCCCCGGCCCCCTTAAACCTTCTCTCAGGATCCTGTCATTTATCACTTGGTGGTTTTTGTCAGATGTTGGAATGTGAGCATAGTACTCTTTAGATTCAGGGGGGGGGGGGTGTAACCCAAAAAAACCCAACTCCTACCCAAGAAAAGGTAATACTGGGATTGGGTTTTTTTGGGTTTTTTTGGGTTTTTTAAACAAAATTTAAACAAAATTCTAGCCATTTCATTAATTGTATTGAATGTGAATTATTTCCCACTGAGTCTTACCTACGTGTTGTTCTCATGTCTTAACTTAATAGATAGTTTACATAGTATTATATAAGTGTGTCTATATTGATAGTATGTTATCACGATAGCAAACAGGATGTCTCGTTCATCGAGATATAATCCATATATAAATGCACAAAGTGGAAATGTGCCAAACGTGGCAAATGTGTTCTCCTGTCATGAAAGGAGGCTATGACGAAGGTCAAGGGCAAGTCAAAGCACATGACTTAAATTACTTGACTTAAGGCGGCTTCAGAGTCCGAGTCTCGATGATGTGTCTCCAAAGCTTTCTGTCCGCCATAAGCTCCTTAATCTCCCTAGTGTTCTTAATCCAGTGTCACTTATTAGGTTATCGACGAAGGTGAGCGGTGGTCTACCCCTCCCTAGGTTCCCAAAGGAGAAGTTGGTGTGCTGCCAGGTCATCATGTCGCTGGATGTGCCCAGCCAACCTCATTCTTCTGGCCTGTATCTTCGAAATAACTCTTGGGAGTGATCCAAAGACCTCCTTGTTGGTGCGATGTCCTCTCCAGTCCACGTTTAGGGCCATCCGAAGCATTCTACTGTAACATCCGTCTATTCTTTTCTTCAAAGATTCTGTTATTGTCCACGTTCTCGTTCCATACAGGAAGATTGATTCAACCGTAACTTGAACAGACGGATCTTTAAATCTCGGCGCAAATTGGACCTCCATATAGCCTACATTTTGTGGTAGGCAGCCCATGCCTTGGCCTTGCGTAACCTAAAGTCGTGCTCCGTTGTACTAAAATCCTCAACTTCTTCTAAGGCATGTCCGTCCTTAGAAATTATTGTGTGTGGCTCCTCTCCTACTAAATTAACTGTAAGATGCTTGGTTTTAGACAAAAAAGATTTCATGCCTCCTCATCAGATGAGGCTTCTGTAGGACTGTAGCATGTGATGACAGTGAGCCTGGGCTTTCCATTAAGAGACATGGTGAGGATCCTTGCGCTGTAAGATTTTATAATTTTATAAGACTTATAGCCTCATATGCGCTGCTGTCCTCGTCAAGATGATTCCTACTCTCCCATTAGAAGCGCCAGCTGCGTTTCTCCACGCAGATGATATCACTGGATGAATCCCTTTGTTCATCTTTTCTATTCTGGTATTCTCAGCAATCAGCATGCACTACCCGATGTTCGATTCTTGCAGGCCAAGGATGTGCAGCTTGCTTCGAGAAAATAGTTCTGCAAGTTCGATGCGTTTGTGCTGTTCTCTGGCTGTTCTTATGTTAAATGTGCTAACCTTAGCAGTCCTTTTACATGATACAATACAATTGATGTTCATATTTTTTTGATGTTTTCTTGTTTGACTTTCTGTAGAAATAGGTTGTCGTGATGTGGAGACCGAGTCATCAGCTTCTGTAATAGCAGCGTAATTACCCCGGCAACCACTTCCACTAGAAAAATAAGGGGCTTTAACCCTTAAGCTGTTGATAAACTTCATCTTGACTTTTCAGTTGGCTCACAATCCTGTGCAGTCCCCTGCACATTGGCAGTGGATTGTGTTCTTAACTCTTGCGCCACTAAAAGGTTAAGGGCATCCGCTTGAACAATAGCCATCTTTAACTCTCACCATAATATCTTGGGTATCTTGAGCATGTAATTGCACGAACATAATATGCTATACAAGATAAATGTGACACTTCCTTTTTCTACCCAACAGCATCAGTTGTAATCCTTACCCAATCGTCACCTGCTCCAGTGTGGGACTTTCCGATTTTATCCCAAAGCATAAGGAGGTTAGAGTGAGAACAGAGCTACACTTTAGCGGGGACTAACCCTTCCCCTGACTACCTCGTTAGCCGGTACCCCGGGCATAGGGAGCCGTATCCTGACCACCAGAGTGTGGTCCAGTCTAGCTGGGTCATAGTAGACTAGATTGAACAGGGTAACAGCCAACACCTCTTTAGCTACTGTGCAATCCACAGTAAAGATTTACGAGTCTCAAAGCCTCTTGTAGACCAAGAGTTAAGGAGTCAATAGATCAAATTATTGAACTACCGGGGCTCAATGTCTCCCGTAGATCGTCCTGCCTTTAGCCTGGACCCCCTGTCCAGTATCCAGTCTTCAGCACGCGGAGGTAGTGGCTTTCATCATGCTGTCCGATGAGTGTCTGGAAGAGGGCACCAGCAGGATACCCCTTTTCAAAGTTCTGGGAGGCTCACATCAGACCAGGGCTTCCACCCAGCTTCTATCCAGCGGTGACGCCTTGGGCCACCTAAGCTTCACACAACCATTGAAAGACCACCTGCCTACTTGTAAAATTTTGACGATGCGATTATTACAGTCGAGGGTCTGATGCTGTACATTCTCAGTGTAACAGCTGACAACAGTTATCAACACTTTATGCCCCGGCTGTTTACATCCGATGCCTGCGAGCAAACTTTATGCTTTCCTGCGCATAGGCCTCCTTGCAGGCATTAGAACTAATCTGTGGTCTAAGGATATGTTGGTTGGCATGGGCAAATCAAACCGTTTGCGTTCCCTCGAGCTTGATGCACTCGGCAAAAGTTTGATCCCTGTAACAGTTGCCCACCCTCGCAACAAGCTTGTTATACCGCATCCGAAAGCAGAAACCATTTAGAGGTAAAGATACTTCAATCCCAAGATTGTTACAAGCTATGAAGAAGGGAGTCTCAAGAGTCAAGGGGTAGAGAACTCCTTCAAGAACACTATAGCTTTGAAGGAGAAGCTTTCCAAACATCTTCTGACGGAGCAGAGAGTGACGAAGCGGAAACAGATGATGAAGAAGAGGAAGTGGAGGATATTGACTCATCAAAGGAATGGGCGAAAATAGTAACTGTGTATTGTGATGCTCTGCATCATGATACGGCTGTTGAGGTTTGCCTCAATGGAGGGCGAGATCGAATGCCATCCCAGTCAAGATTTTAGCGACTCCAGGGCCATAAACAAGCGAAGATATCACTTAATATCACATGCGATCATGCAGCTGATGGTAACTGTAAGATTCTTTCAGTTGGAGATAGAGCATGGTTTCTCGTTCAGCGGATGATCAGGAAAACGGAAACAGAGATCGTGAAGGTGAGAAGAACTCGTACCGGTTGCGGTCAGGGTTGGGGTCATCAGTGAGTTGCGTCCCTACTAACTCAATTTGCCATGGCCATCGAAGTGAGCATTACATATGGCTGATATCATATCTGGATGGCCAACTTCTTCTGAGCACATCAGTGAATAAAATACTGCTTTTGGGTGATATTTAAGCGATTATATCTATTGTGATGTTGTAGTGATGAACCACAACAGTGATGTTGTACTGATAATTGTTTTGCTAGGTGCCTACATGATTTTATTTCCTTCAAATGAAAAATTTGTAAAAAACCCAAAAAAACCCAACTCCTACCCTGAAAAAGGTAATACTGGGATTGGGTTTTTTTGGGTTTTTTTGGGTTTTTTTGGGTTACACCCCCCCAGATTCATTATAGACGGCTAAATCTTGCAGGCCCAAAGAAGTTTGAATCTTCACGATCATGTTCTCATTTGTTTAGACTGAATTTCCAATTGCTTTCTTTCTGTGTCCTATAACTTCACTCGTGAGGTAACTAATACTCAAATATTGGTATTAATTGCACAGTCCTTTTCGTAGATGGGATATACCTTCAAAACGCTGCAACTTTTCTTATGGTTACCCCAATCACGCTTCTGACAGACAACGCTGCAATATCTCACTGATTTACAGGTTCCACAGTATTACCACAAGCTTGACATCTTTTTAAATCTGATCCTTTTTGACCACAGGAACTGCATTCACTTCGAGCCAAATCTGTCATAATTTACCGCTGCGAAAATGTAACTGGTTATAACAAAAATTATGTCTGAAATTAAACTGACAATATTAAGTCGAAGTTCTTATGTGAAAACGGATTACAAATTAATTGAAATTGATTTAATCTAGCGTCTCGGGGGGATGCAACGTCAATTAATGTCAGTATTCCATAAAAACCCCAAACTGACATTGACATTAATTGACATTAATTGACATTAATTGACATTAATTGACATTAATTGACATTAATTGACATTAATTGACATTAATTGACATTAATTGACATTAATTGACATTAATTTGTCTTGAAATTTGAGATTATCATTATTCGATAAATATTCAAGATATTCACGTCTATGTAAGTTAGACCGGTTCAAAAAACAAAATGTCCTTGAATAATTATGAGTATGTTCTTATCTGTTGATCCTTAGGTTCAAAGACCACCAAACAAAAATTTCAGTTTCAAACTCTTCCATCTTCGGTCCCCACCGGCCACACCCATATTTTATTGGTTTCTTATACAGGTAAAATATCTAGAATCGGCTTTTTTAGTATGAAGGAGTAATGCTAGCTGTTTAAGATTCGTTATTCAAATATAAATGTCATGAAGGCATTTCGTTTAATGTGGGTTTTAAGTTCTGATGATGTTGAGAACCACGCCCTTGGATGGCCACGCCCATTTAAGAAAATTAAATTTCGGAAAACCGTATTATTTTAGTTTTATTGTTTAATGATCTGAATTTTTTCACATTTCACATTTCCATATGTGATAGTAGTGAATAAATTGATGATATAAACGTTCTAAAGTGCTAAAAATATGGTAGAACTACATAATCTTTGGTCGAAAAATATCGTGTCAATTAATGTCAGTATTCCAAAATTTTGCAAAACTGACATCGACATTAATTGACATTAATTGACATTAATTGACATTAATTGACATTAATTGACATTAATTGACATTAATTGACATTAATTGACATTAATTGACATTAATTGACATTAATTGACATTAATTGACATTAATTGACATTAATTGACGTTGCATCCCCCCCAGCGTCTCTAATCTCATTAACAGCACACACAATGCACAAAAAAAGGGAAAACATCGACCCATTTTGCCAAAGAAGAGACTCGAACAGAATTTGATTGACTGAGAAATGGGCTCATTATAATATAGCTAAGTTAGCATATGTTGAAATTATCACAATAGCAAAGCAGCTTCGTTTGGCTGGCAACGCAGCTGTCATTCTGAGTAGAATAGCTTTCATCTTATAACGTCATACCCGCATACCCACATAATATGCACCAATCGAGTATTATTATACTAACAGAATAGTACAGCTTGGCTGGCAGAGCACATGTCACTCTAGGTTTTATGTGACATTATTCTATATTTTAAAGTAGAAAGTTAGTCTCAGTTCGCTTTTGATGATCATGTTTCCGTCAGTCGATGGTGATTAGGGAATATTAGGCGTAAGGCATAATCTACGATCAGTAAAAATGTGCACTTGTTTCACTCACATTTTATCATTAACGCTCATTTCCTAGCCCCTGGACATGCTCCTGAGCCAGGTTGTGATTAAAGCACAAACTGGCACCTTACATTCCACCCGCTCATCTTGCTCTTTGTGTTTCGTAGAATTACCACATATTCCAGTAGTTTCTAGCATTGTTCTTGTGATAGCGCAAAGGTGGAACAAAGGAATTTGGCTGGAATCTCAGTGATATCCTAGATCCTGTGTGTAACGGATCTGCGGTAAATCTTCCGTCATTAAAATATTCGGTGGATTGCTGCACTGGCCGACGTAAAATGTGTGATTCTTTAAGTTGACCATTCTCTAGATCCGCACGACTGGGAAGATCAAACTAAGGAATGTTTTAGCACTCTTTCCCGCTCCTATTGTGGCGTATTAATGTATTCTGAGGTACGTGAACATGTGTAATGTATTACTGTATTACAGCAACAATGAGTCGCAAGCTTACATTAATTTCATACTGTGGCCAGTGAGTGTAGTGGTCCAGCTGCAGGTGTATTAATTAATAATGTCCCAGTGTAGGCTGAGGTTGAGCTCGTAGCAAGTTTATGATATCAGTGCAGCTGGTGTGACCCATAAAACACGCAACATTCCAGCATACCTCCACATTCCATCATGGTTCCATTGTACAAACACTTCACACTACATTCCGCACTAAACGCAAACAGTAAACATCCTTGTTTACAGTGCATGTATCAGGAACTACATCCATTTGATCTATTGTATAATACACACACAATGTTCATTGTGCACATTAAACACACACATTACACACTACGTAACATCGTGTGGTTGGTGTTGGAATGACTGGCTTGCAGTTTACAACCTCCCCTATCTCTACAAATCTGATCTCTCATTACACACTCAGTTACACATGACTACATGTGTTGTATAGCACGTGCCACTACCACTACCAGTCAATTCAATCCAGCCAAGCAAGATATTATTCACATTACACAATATGATCTGAGAATCAGTTGTAAATCACATGTAAGATGGTCGTTATTTGTAGGGGCAGGGTGGCCGGGGGGGGGGGGGGGGGGGGGTTGTCTTTATTAGTCAGTAGTGGTCAGATCCTAAATTATTGTACACTGATTGCCGCGACTAATGTAGCAGGCGTTTCAGCTGATTGGAGAGCATCTACCACTCAACTACTACCAGACTATATTCTATAAATGTTCTTGTATTGTTCTATATTGTTCTTATATTCTATAATTGTTTCTGTTCTCTCAGGTTGGAGTTGTTACACGTTCAGCAGCTTAGTGAGGCGGATCTGTACAGCTGGAAGACTGATAGACACGAAGTTGAGATAGTGGATATGTTACTTTGGATACGAGACAGGTACCTGAGTTCAAGTTACCGCTTTTTGTGATGTTTAATAAAATTAGCTGGTGGAAGATGAGAGGCTCGATTTAATTATGTTGACGCGCGGCTGAAAGTCCGCAATTTAGCTGAACCAGGAAGATAGCTCTCAGTATAGTAATAAACTGGTCCGGTTTTTCTGGCATTTTGCAAGAAAATCTGGAGTAAATCATGGCCTTTGCCCGTGATACCCCTTTGTAGAAATTGAATCATTCTATCCTTAATATTGTGTGGCTTGCATTCTTCGATACTGATTATATCTCCTGTTCGATAATCGTATTATTGAATGTACCGAAACTGTGACAATATCATGTTCTCCTGCTCACTGTTATACTAACACTTGTAAACGTATAATTTGCAATATCTGCACAACTTCCAGCTGTTACACAACGCAACAAGACTAAATTAGTACAGAAATTAATTACACTTTATCGGAAGCACCCAGCTCTTAATTAATTAATTATTGCAGAAATTAATTACACTTTATTGGAAGCGCCCAGCTCTAAATTAATGAGACACTCTTTTTACATCGGCGAAAATAAAGAAACAGCTGTGTTGGCACAACTTTCTTTTCCGATGGTGTTACAATTAGCTGATTGATGCGTCCTAGTAACGAAGTTAGATAGCTTAATGGAAGCACGCGGCACGCCCATCTTTCTTGTGTGGCATTATCACGTACTAATGTGTTAAACTGAGAGTAAACGATCTTCACTTGAGCTGCATTACACTGCTGCATTACACTGCTGCATTACACTGCTGCATTACACTGCTGCATTACACTGCTGCATTACACTGCTGCCATCAAAAGCTTAAATCATCTGTGTAAACTTCAATCCGCGCTAAATTAGTGTTATCTTTCTACGATAAATTTAATATCATGTGTAAAATATGACTTTTGTCGAATTAATAACGTCAAATATTTTACCCAGGCACGATGCGTTGCAGAGACTTGGCAGTAACCCAGAATTACAAGACCACCTAAAGAATCACATTGATACACTACTGGAGGTTGTGCCTGCTGACTTACAGAGCACACTCAAGCCTGCATTTAACTTATAGCCGGACACTTGGCTGTTTGCAGTGGCCATACACACAAATGACAACTATTTAAATATCAGCTTTCATCAAAGACTAATTTTAACGCCACCTTCACCCGATAACGCCGTTTAGTTGAAGTATTTCGTGTTTTGTATCGTTTTATTTGTATTGAATCTCCTGATATAGAGTTCCCAGAGTTGTTTTTGCGGACGCTTTGTAATGTTTTATGTGGATATGCTGGGGTGCTATGCTACCGATACAATCTGCATGTGTTATTTTAATCAATCATGGGGTATACTAGAGTATTGTTCCTCTGTATTCTTTTTTATATAATTGTTGATATTTTGTTCAGATCGGTGTTTTATATTGTGAAAATTCAATTTTTCCCAGTCACTAACAAGGCCTGCTTTACAAACCGGCGTAAGGGGTCGTTCACATATTACGTAATCAGCTGAGGGGGGGGGGGGGGGGGGTTTCCAAATTATTACGCTAATGTAATTTTGACACAATAGCTATGTGTAAAACTGATTACGGAGGGGGGGGGGGGGGGGTAAAAATGTTCCAAAAAATAATTACGTAATATGTGAACGACCCCTAAGAATAACCATAAGTACCAGCGGAACAATTTGGTGTTTGCTGGGTTCTTTGATCAGAAGTTGTAGTGCCAACCTACTTAATCTAAACTCTCTGGCACAGTTCTCTTCTGAATTGCTGTTGGGAGTTGATGAATCCAGATTTTTGGAACATTTTTGGAACATTTTTGGAACATGTGCCAAAATTGTGCCATGCATTTATTTGCCCTAATGAGCTCTAAATAGTGCCAAAAATAATTGTAAATGATGGATATATTTGCAAGCTAGGTCTAGGGGCCATCGAAAGTAGCATAACATTACCCAGGTTCATGGAATGAACGAAAATGAACAAAAATGAATATTGTCCTAAAAATGCTCAGAACGGTTTAAAATTGGTCGGAAAGTGTTTATATTAGTCCTAGGACCACTCAAACCAAGTTTGGGAATCACTGCATGTCTAGAACCGATGTTACCAATGTTCCAAAATGTTCCAATTTTGGCACAATAATCCTCCTGAGAATCCAGATTTTTGGAACATGGGCACATCGAAGTATTGGCTGTATTTAAGTGCTGGGAAGCCTCAATTCGGTTTTCTAAGATGGATATAGGTAAAAACTAGGCCTAAGAGCCATCAAAACTCAAATAACATTACCCAGGTTCATGGAATGAACTAAAATGAACAAAAATGAATATTGTCCTAAAAATGCTCAGAACGGTTTAAAATTGGTCGGAAAGTGTTTATATTAGTCCTAGGACCACTCAAACCAAGTTTGGGAATCACTGCATGTCTAGAACCGATGTTACCAATGTTCCAAAATGTTCCAATTTTGGCACAATAATCCTCCTGAGAATCCAGATTTTTGGAACATGGGCACATCGAAGTATTGGCTGTATTTAAGTGCTGGGAAGCCTCAATTCGGTTTTCTAAGATGGATATAGGTAAAAACTAGGCCTAAGAGCCATCAAAACTCAAATAACATTACCCAGGTTCATGGAATGAACGAAAATGAACAAAAATGAATATTGTCCTAAAAATGCTCAGAACGGTTTAAAATTGGTCGGAAAGTGTTTATATTAGTCCTAGGACCACTCAAACCAAGTTTGGGAATCACTGCATGTCTAGAACCGATGTTACCAATGTTCCAAAATGTTCCAATTTTGGCACAATAATCCTCCTGAGAATCCAGATTTTTGGAACATGGGCACATCGAAGTATTGGCTGTATTTAAGTGCTGGGAAGCCTCAATTCGGTTTTCTAAGATGGATATAGGTAAAAACTAGGCCTAAGAGCCATACAAACTCAAATAACATTACCTAGGTTCATGGAATGAACGAAAATGAACAAAAATGAATATTGTCCTAAAAATGCTCAGAACGGTTTAAAATTGGTCGGAAAGTGTTAATATTAGTCCTAGGACCACTCAAACCAAGTTTGGGAATCACTGCATGTCTAGAACCGATGTTACCAATGTTCCAAAATGTTCCAATTTTGGCACAATAATCCTCCTGAGAATCCAGATTTTTGGAACATGGGCACATCGAAGTATTGGCTGTATTTAAGTGCTGGGAAGCCTCAATTCGTTTTTCTAAGATGAATATAGGTAAAAACTAGGCCTAAGAGCCATCAAAAGTCAAATAATATTACCCAGGTTCATGGAATGAACGAAAATGAACAAAAATGGATATTGTCCTAAAAATTCTCAGAACGGTTTAAAATTGGTCGGAAAGTGTTTATATTGGTCCTAGGACCACTCAAACCAAGTTTGGGAATCACTGCATGTCTAGAACCGATGTTACCAATGTTCCAAAATGTTCCAATTCGAGTGGTCTTAGGTCCAATACAAACACTTTTCGACCAATTTCAAACCGCTCTGAGCAATTCCAAAGAGTTTACGAAAGAGTCATAAGGCCAATCAACAGACTATTCATTTACTGTACTGTTAAGATTGTTCGGTATTCTGCACCCCTCGTATCGGTTCTGGGCATGCAGTGATTCCATAAACAGTCAGACAGTCACACAATGTACACCCTATATTTAGATCACATCAGTTTCATTTGTATCACATCACTTCATGTAATAGATGTGTGGAAGCAAATAAAGATGTGATCTGAATAAGGTGATCCGAGCGTAGCAAGGTTATCCGATCTTATTTGGTGTGATCGGATGTAGAGGCGTAAGATCAGATCAGGTCATCAGCAATAGGATTAACTTAGCAAGCTTGTTAATGAATAAGAAGAGAATAAATAGATAATTAAGTTATCATTTTCCCTCTCTGTTAACCACAACAACTACAACGACAATGAATCCCTTCACTAAATTGATGAGCCTACCTCTTTATCTACCAGTTCAAAGAAGCACCAGCAGTCCACCTCACTCAACCAACCCCTTCACCAGCAACCTTCATCCCTCAACCAACTCATTCACCACCAGCCTACCTAACGCAACCAACCCCTTCACCAGCAACCTACCTCGCTCAACCAACCCTTTCACCCGCAACCTTCATCCCTCAACGAACAAATACAGCTAATGATGTCAAAAATTTATATCAATATATTGGGGGATTATTAAAACCAAAATAATTGCCCAATAAAATAATTTCTGCCTTCTCTTGGAGGTACGTGTGCTAATTGTACATAATTCTGAATGCAACTTTAAGACTCTGTTGGACGAAAATATTGACTCTTTGCCACCATTTTCTTACCATTCTGAGCGCTTTAAGGAAAATTTTCATTTTTGTTCATTTTCGTTCATTCCATGAACCTGGGTAATGTTATTTGACTTTTGATGGCTCTTAGACCTAGTTTTTACATATATCCATCTTAGAAAACCGAATTGAGGCTTCCCAGCACTTAAATACAGCCAATACTTCGATGTGCCCATGTTCCAAAAATCTGGATTCTCAGGAGGATTATTGTGCCAAAATTGGAACATTTTGGAACATTGGTAACATCGGTTCTAGACATGCAGTGATTCCCAAACTTTGTTTGAGTGGTCCTAGGACTAATATAAACACTTTCCGACCAATTTTAAACCGTTCTGAGTATTTTTAGGATAATATTCATTTTTGTTCATTTTCGTTCATTCCATGAACCTGGGTAATGTTATTTGAGTTTTGATGGCTCTTAGGCCTAGTTTTTACCGATATCCATCTTAGAAAACCGAATTGAGGCTTCCCAGCACTTAAATACAGCCAATACTTCGATGTGCCCATGTTCCAAAAATCTGGATTCTCAGGAGGATTATTGTGCCAAAATTGGAACATTTTGGAACATTGGTAACATCGGTTCTAGACATGCAGTGATTCCCAAACTTGGTTTGAGTGGTCCTAGGACTAATATAATCACTTTCCGACCAATTTTAAACCGTTCTGAACATTTTTAGGACAATATTCATTTTTGTTCATTTTCGTTCATTCCATGAACCTGGGTAATGTTATTTGAGTTTTGATGGCTCTTAGGCCTAGTTTTTACCTATATCCATCTTAGAAAACCGAATTGAGGCTTCCCAGCACTTAAATACAGCCAATACTTCGATGTGCCCATGTTCCAAAAATCTGGATTCTCAGGAGAATTATTGTGACAAAATTGGAACATTTTGGAACATTGGTAACATCGGTTCTAGACATGCAGTGATTCCCAAACTTTGTTTGAGTGGTCCTAGGACTAATATAAACACTTTCCGACCAATTTTAAACCGTTCTGAGCATTTTTAGGACAATATTCATTTTTGTTCATTTTCGTTCATTCCATGAACCTGGGTAATGTTATTTGAGTTTTGATGGCTCTTAGGCCTAATTTTTACCTATATCCATCTTAGAAAACCGAATTGAGGCTTCCCAGCCAATACTTCGATGTGCCCATGTTCCAAAAATGTGGATTCTCAGGAGGATTATTGTGCCAAAATTGGAACATTTTGGAACATTGGTAACATCGGTTCTAGACATGCAGTGATTCCCAAACTTTGTTTGAGTGGTCCTAGGACTAATATAAACACTTTCCGACCAATTTTAAACCATTCTGAGCATTTTTAGGACAATATTCATTTTTGTTCATTTTCGTTCATTCCATGAACCTGGGTAATGTTATTTGAGTTTTGATGGCTCTTAGGCCTAGTTTTTACCTATATCCATCTTAGAAAACCGAATTGAGGCTTCCCAGCACTTAAATACAGCCAATACTTCGATGTCCCCATGTTCCCAAAATGGTTACAAAAATCAAAATTGGAACCACCTTCACATCGGTTCTAGACATGCAGTGATTCCCAAACTTGGTTTGAGTGGTCCTAGGACCAATGTTAACACTTTCCGACCCATTTTAAACCATTCTGAGCACTTTGAGAAGAATGTTCATTTTCGTTCATTTCTGGTCATTCCATGGGTAATTTTATACGACTTTTGATGGCTCCTAGGCCTAGCTTACGGCTATATCCATCTTAGAATACCGAATTGAGGCTTCCCAGCACTCAAATACGGCCAATACTGCGATGTGCCCATGTTCCAAATTTATGGATTCATCTACTGGCTGTTGGACGCGATTACAATATTATGAGGAACTGCACGACTTTCTGGCGCAAAGCTACGCGCTCGCGTTCGTTATTTACATGCACAGCCACTCATATCATGTCAACTCATAATATATATAAGGCCGATTTCTGCGATGTTTAATGTTCTAATCAGATAGGATCACCCTTTGATTGACGATGTTAACCCTTCCAGATCATTGCTTTGAGAAGCAGAGCAACGATCTTGTCGATGCGAAGCAAGAATGCTAGTTTGCGCG